CTCCTGGGCACGTCTGCTTCTTTTTTTTCTAAAGCTTTCAGGTGTGCTGTTAAGTCCCAGATGTATGCTTTCTCCGTTTTCTTTAAGTGGGCACTTAGTGCTATGAACTTTCCTCTTAGCACTGCTTTCATCGTGTCCCATAGGTTTGAGTATGTTGTCTCTTTATTTTCATTAAATTCAAGGAAGACTTTAATTTCTTTCTTAATTTCTTCCTTGACCCAGGTGTGGTTCAGTAGTTGACTGTTCAGTTTCCATGAGTTTGACACCTATTTCTTAAAGTCTTACTTTATCTTGTTTAATTAGTACAAAATTTGAAGCTGAGGGTTATAGATTTCATGACATTTTATCATGACTTCTTTAGTTCTTTGAATCTCTGAGTACCAGTTTTCTTAAGTAAAATCTTTGTTCTAATCTATAGATGTGTAGGGTTGGAGAGATAGCTCTGTGGTTAAGAGCTCTGAAAGCTCTTCCAGAAGACCTGGGTTCAATTCCTAGCACCCACATGGTAGTTTACAACTGCCTGTAACTCCAATTCCAGGGGATCTGGGGTCCTCACAGGCCGTGCCAATGCAGCCTGGGTGCAAAGACTGGTAGGGGGAGGATTCTTTTCAGGTGGAAGAACAGCAAGCTTTACCCTGAGTTAAGCCTTTTATACCTCTACTGCTTCTGTTGGAAAACCACTGGCCAGAAAGAACACAAACATCCTTGTCAATTACAGACCACAAGGAAGGTCAGGGGGAGTGGGAGCAGCTAGATCACAACACTCACACAAATATAGATGCAGGTAAAACGCCAATGCACATGAAAATTAATAAATCCTTTACAAAGTAGAGGTGTCATAGTCATGAGAAGTTTAAGGTTAGCTGGGCAGTGGTAGTGGACACCTTTAATCCCCCGCACTCAGGAGGCAGAGGCAGGCGGATCTCTGTGAGTTCAAGAACTACAGAGTTAGTTCCTGGACAGGCTCCAAAGCTCTTCAGAGAAACCCTGTCTCAAAAAAAAAAATAGTTTGAGGTTATCTTCGATGACAGAGTGAATTCAAAGCCATAATGGGTTTTATAAGACCCTGTCTTAATAATAATTAACAATAATAATAATAAATAAAAGCCCAGCAAGGTGGGTTAGTGGGCAAAAATGTTTGTTGCACCTAATAACCTGAGTTTGACCCCTGATACCAGGGTGAAGATGAACACCAATGCCCAAAAGTTGTATTCTGACCTCTGCAGGTGCATATATACATGCCCTCAGTCTCCCTGAGACTCTCTCTCTCTCTCTCTCTCTCTCTCTCTCTCTCTCTCTCTCTCTCACACACACACACACACACACAGAGTAATAATAATCTAAAAAGGAAACTCTGAAAAGAAAAATGACATCAGGGTGGGGCCCCATGATTTAGAAATTATTATATAGAAACACAATCTGCTTTTCACTTACTGATCTAACTGTTGGCACCTTGGGGTTAGAAAAGTGTTTTAATACCTTGTAAATTAAAGAACTCATGACACCCCTACTTTTTGTTTTTGTTTGTTTGCTTGTTATTTGTTTTGTCTTTGTTTTTTGAGACTGGGTTTCTTTGTGTAACAGCCCTGGCAGTCTTTGAACTCAGTTTGTAGATCTGGCTGACCTTGAACTCATAGAGATCCACCTGCCTCTGCCTCCTGAGTGCTGTGATTAAAGGTGTCCACTACCACTGCCCAGCCAGCTCAGCTAACCTTACGCTTCTTCTGGCTACCTCCGTTTCCCCAGGACTGAGATTATGAGTGAGTATCAACATGCCTGGTACGTATTGGAACCTAGACTTTGTACATGTTATGCCAGCATCCAGATGAACTTCAACCCAGCCACCTAGATTTCACTTACCTGAAGCCAACTGTGACCTGAAAATATTAAATGAAAAAATCCCAGAAATAAAAATAATTTTTATTCTCTTCAAGACAGGGTTTCTTTGTGTAACCTTGGCTGTCATAGAACTAGCTGTATAGACCAGGCTGGTCTCAAACTCACAGAGATCCACCTGCTTCTGCCTCCTGAGTGCTGGGATTAAAAGCATGGCTCACTACCACCTGGCTTACTTTTAAAATATTTATAGAAGTGTATATGTATCTGTGTTGGGTATACGCAGTGGAGAGTGTGGTTCTGGAGGTGGCCAGAGGTGTCGTATTCCCTTGGAGTTGGAGTTACAGGCAGTTGTGAACCAATGGGATTCTCTACAATAGCAGTATGTGCTCCTAGTGGCTGAGCCATCTCCCCAGCATCCACAGTAAGCTGTAGATTTTATTCTATTCTGAGTATCTTCACAGAGTCTCACAGTGCCCCACTCTGCTTTGCCTGGGATGGGAATCATCCCTTTACCCTGCAAGTTCGTGCTTCTTACGCTACCTGCTACACTATATGGTCTCTTAGCCATGCAGCTGTCCTAATAATTATTTAATAAGGAAAGACAAAAAAGCTGAGTTTGCTCCAGTTTCTAAGAAATTTCAGGGGGAGAGGAGAGATGGAGAGACTGTCCTCACTTTTTATTTTTATTTATTTTTTTGACCCAGGGTTTTACTCTGGTCCAGGCTAACTTCAAGTTCATGATGTAGCCCAGGCTTACAAAGAACTCATGCTGGTCATTTCATTTCAGACAAGTGTGGGGGATTATGGGTAAGAGCTACCACCACATCTAGCTGAATTTTATTACAATATATTACAACTTTATAATTATTGCCAATATTTTTCTGAACTAAATATATAGATTACACCTTTTCATTAGTGTGTTTGTATAAGAAAAAAGTATATAAGAGTTCATTGCTATCTGAAGTCTATATGAAGTTCAGGCATGCAATGGGGTGTACCCTCTCAGGATAAGAGGGGGTCACAGTGTTAACTTTTGGAGACTGAAATGTCTACTCAGAAGCACTGAATTACAGAAAATGAGGAAGATGAGGTTGGTGACCACTTAACAGGAATCTTGAGAACAACCAGCCAGGTACAGGAGTACATTTCTGAAATACCAGCACAGGGAAAGTGAAGGTGGAGGGCTAGGAAGTTCAAGGTCAACATGGTCTTACAGAAGAAACCTTTCTCTAAACAGGAACACACTATAAAATAACGGAATCATAATAAAGTGATATTGGAACGTTAGATTCAGTGAAGCTGCAAAAGAAAAACCAGAAGTCGGGTGGTGGTGCTGCTTGCCTTTAATCCCTGCACTCAGGTGGCAGAGGAAGGTTGATCTCTGTGAGTTTGAGGCCAGCCTGGTCTACAGGGTGAGTTCCAGGACAAGCTCCAAATCTACACACACACACTCACACACACACACACACATACAGATACAATCGCGTATCTATGTGTGTGTGTAAATATATATATTTAAACTAGGTGTAGGGGGTTCACACCTACAATAACAGCAATCAAGAGGCAGAAGTGGGCGGTGGTGATGCATGCTTTTAATCCTAGCCCTCCGGAGGCAGAGGCAGGAAGCTCTCTGTGAGTTAGAGGCCATCCTGGTCTACAGAGTTCCAGGACAGCCTGGACTGTTACACAACGAAAATCTGTCTTCAAAAACCAAAAACCAGACAAACAGAAAAAAGAGGCAGAAGAAGGAGAATCAGGAGCTGAGGGCCAGCATTAGTTACATAGCTAATTTGAGACCAACTTGGGCTACATAAGACCCTGTGTTGAAAGAGAGAGACAGAGAGGAGAGAGACACAGGGAGACACACACACACACACACAGATACAATCGCGTGTGCGCGCACACACACAGAGAGAGGCAGAGAAAGACTGAAATGTACTGAATAAAATACTGTATAATACAAAGCTAGGCATGGTGGAGCATGTCTTTAATCCCAGTACTGAGGAGGTAGAGGAAGGTAGATCTCTGTGAATTTGAGGCCAGCCTTGTCTATGTAGTGAGGGGCAGCTAGAGCTACACAATAGAGACCTTATTTCCACAGAAAAGAAAAAATATTTATAGTATATATGAATATGCTTATTCACTAGATTTTTCAAGAGTTTAGGTAAAGGGGACTCTTTTTTTCTTTTGGTTTTTCGAGACAGGGTTTCTGTGTATAGCCCTGGCTGTCCTGGAACTAGGTCTGTAGATCAGGCTGACCTCAGACTCAGAGAGACCTCCTGCCTCTGCCTCCTGAGGACTGGGATTAAAGACATGCGCCACCCACCAGCGCCCTCCAAGGGAACTCTTGAAATACAAGTGAAAGTAGCATAGGCCACTTTTTCAAAGAAGACACAGTACCGACTGTCTCTGTGACGTAATCTGCGATAAAACTATAACTGAAGATATTTTCACAAAATATGAAGGTATTGCAGGTGTTTCTACACGTGTTGGGTTACATCTATATATAATCAAGGAGATAAGCGTGTCCCCCGTCTATCAGTTGGAACTCCGGTTCGCAGTTGACAATAGTATGAAAGTTCTGTGTTCCTAGAACCAACTGCATTGCAGAAGAGTATGCTCAGGGTTTGCTACAATTAGGAAACGTCGCGAAGCAGGTAAACATAAAAAAAGAATCCCCTTTCGTTGTCAAAGGAAAAAAAAGGAAAAAAAAAAGAGTGAAAATCTCCCTTACAGATGCCAAATAATTTTGGGTTTGGAGAGCAATCATTGAACGAGCTTTGACATCCAGGGTCTCTTGCCCACTTACGGGAATTCTAACAGCAGGCCTCGCGGGGGAAGGCAAAAGTACTTTGTCAGTTAATATGTCCACAGAAAGGAAACCAGCCTAGCGAGATGTATTATTTCTGAGGACGTAAAAAGATCTGCACTCGATGGGCTGGACGCGACCCGTGCTTTAAAGAGCAGCGGCGTCTGCCGGCGCTCGCTCACTATTGTGTCTGCACCCGCAGCGGCAGCACTCAGTCCCACCGCGACATTAAAGAGTCCCTCTTTGTTCAGCGCCGGTCCGGGACGGAGGGCGCGGTGTCCTTCCGCGCTCGCCGCGCAGTCCCCGCCCCTCTGCGGCCCTGGAGAGCTGCCATTCGGCCTGGGAGTAGCTCCGCGCTCCCAGAATGCACCGCGAGTCCGCGGGAAACCAAAATGGCGAAGGGCCGCAGCGAAGTGGTCCGTGTTTGAGGCCGGTGTGAGAACGCACACTCTCCTCCCCGACCCTCGTCCCTAAGGAATTTGGTGTGCGTGTGTGTGTGCGCGTGTGTGCGTGTGCGCAGGGTTCCCGCTGGGGCGGGTGCCCGGTGAGTGCCCGGACTCGCGGGGAAGCGCCCACGGGGACGTGATTGCTTCTGTTTTCCTGTATGAAGCGGTTGGCACCACTTAAGTGACCGAATGAGGTGAGAGAACCTTGGCCCGGGAACCGATTCTCTTGGAGGAGGTAGGGATGGGGGAAGAGACGAAAGAAAGAAAGCAAAAGAAAGGGGGGAAGATGGAGGATCCGGCTTCGGGTAAGGGACTCCTGTGTGGGGGTGTTTTTGCGCTGGTGCCTGTGTTGAAAGAATGGATAGGAAGGAGCAGTCAGTGGAATGTTGGTAAAAATAGGGACTGGGAGAACGGGCAGGGCGTTCGGGGAGTCGGTTGGTGGAACTGGAGACGTTGAGACAGGGAAGCTGTGTTTGGTGGGCAGGAAGGAACCTGGGGGCGGGAGACGGTTGGAGGGGCAGGATGAACCTGGGGGGTGAGGGGGTGGGGAACAGAGGGGAGGAACCGTCAGAATGTGGGGAGTCTAGTCGAGGGGCGCCAAGGGACGGATCAGTTTGGAACCAGAGGGTATTTGTGGAATTGGGGTGTAGGAATCTAGCGGACGGGCCTGATGCAGTGTAAGGATGAGGGAGATTGCCTGGAAAGCAAATCTTGGAAGCTTCAAGGGGAGAAGTGGGATTGATATGGGGAAGAGATACTTTTTTTTTTATTAGGAGGCATTTCTTCTGTTCAATTAAAGTTTCCCTGCTCAGAGGTTTTTTATTCATCGTCACAGCCTAGGTAATTACGGCTTTAAGGGATTTAACTAAACCAGGCTTTCTTCACATATTTCCGTAGTGCCAGAACTCTTAACTGTGGTTTACAGTCCGATGTCCTTGGTTGTTAGAATTTTTCTTTGGAAGAAATTACAAGGAGCAGACGGATTTATTGAGTCATTCGGGAGTTTGTGAACAATAGAAAAAGGTGTATGGGATGCTATTGTATTCTTTCAGTAAAACATTTAACTTTGGTTGGAGATGCTACTGTGTACTAGAAGCTAGAATTCGAAAACCCAGACAAGTCTGTGAAAAACCTAGAAAAGCACTCATGAGATCAAAGGAGAGCTAGAACTATGTAAATAGTGGTTGGTTTGACTCCATTTGCTCTAGTAGTAACTCTCTCCTTCAGATAGGTTGCATTTAATATTATCTTGTCTGCAGACTGCTTTCAATTTCCATTTTTTCATTTCTCTTTTGGAAATTTCTTTTTGGGGAATTAAACTTAAAAGTAATTGTGGGCCAAATAAGGTAAAGTTAAATTCTTTTTCTTAATACTTTTATTTTATGTGCATTGGTGTTCTGCCTGTATGTATGCATGTGTGAGAGTGTTTGATCCCCTGGAACTGGAGTTGCAGACAGTTGTGAGCTGCCATGTGGGTGCTGGGAATTGAACTCAGGTCCTCTAGAAAAGCAGCCAGTGCTCTTAACTGCTGAGCCATCTCTCCAGCCCTGTAAACTTAAAATTCTTAAGTGACCTTTTAGGATGCTGGATAATGCTTTAAATGGAGTCCCCCTTTTCTTCTTTTTTTTTAAGTTTCAAAGCAGGGTCTCATTATTATGTAACTCTGGCTGTCCTGAACTCACTATGTAGACTAGGCTGCCTCTGCCCAGAGTGCTGAGATCAAAGGTGTGAGCGACCCTCAGTGATATTATTCTTGATTCTGAGTTAACGTCAGCAACTGTCATTGGGTGTGTGACTTGAAGTACTATACTTCTATGTATAGTATGGAGAATTATTTCCCTGGGTTGAATGTAGTTTTAAGTGTTAGAGTGATGTTGTTGAACAATAGACATGTTCGGTGCCCATGTAGAGTATGAAATTTGACTTTGAGCAATGAGGAGTGATAGGACACACATACACACATACGCACACACACACGAACATACTCATACACACACATACCCATACTACACCTCCAAGCTATACAATTGCTAAAACTGATGAACCATGATGAAAGTACAAATAGATTCATAACGGAGTATGATATCAAGATAGTTGAGTACAAAACTATTACATGTCAGAAAAATGAGTAAGGACACAGCTGAGATTAGAGAGGACAAACATGCTGGTCAAATGATATACAAGTTTGATTGCATCCTGAATTTTGGGGAAAAAGTGTAGAGGACATTTAAAAATATTTTTTATATATGCTTGTGTGTGTGTGTATGTGTATGTATGTATGGGAGGGATATATGTGCCAGTGTGCACAGAGGCCAGAGCCATTGTAGGCGGAGACTGCTTCTTCTTTTCCTGGCTGCCCAGACCCGAATAATAAGACAGAAACTGTTTTAATTGCAACACTGTTTGGCCAATAGCTTATGTATGTTTGTAGCTAACTCCTACAGCTTAAATTAACCCATTTTATTAATTTGTGAATTATCATGAGGCTGTGGCCTACTGATAAGGTTCTGGCTGGCAGCTACATGGTGTCTCCTTGACTCCCCCTACTCTCTCTCTATATCTCTTCCAGCTTGGCTATATTCTGCTAAGTCATTGGCCCAAACAGCTTCTTTGTTAATCAGTGGTAATAAAACATTTGCATCATACAGAGGGGAACCCCACATTAAGCCATGACATCCCCTTGAGCTTGAGTTATAGGTGGTCGTGAGCTGCCTAACAGGTGCTGAGAGCCAAACTCAGTTCTTCTCCAAAAGTAGTATGTGCTCTTAATAGCTGAGCCATTTCTCCAGCCCCATAAAGGATAATTTTTCACCCGTTACAGTGATTCTAAAATTTAACCTTCTGTGGTAATGAATGCATCTTTCTCTTTTTTTATTTTTAACGTGCATTGGTGCTTTTGCCATGAACGTTTGGGTTCCTAGAACTGGAATTACAGATAGTTGTGAGCTGCTGTGTGGGTGCTGGATTTGAACCTGGGTTCTCTGGAAAAGTAGTCAGTGCACTTAACTGCAGAACCATCTCTCCAGCATCCCTTCCTCCCCTCCCTTCCCCTTCCCTCCCCTCCCCTCTTCCTCAGTTTCTAGACAGGATTTCTCCATGTAGCCTTGGATGTCCTAGAACTTACTGTGTAGATCAGAACTTACAGATCCACCTGCTTCTTCCTCCCAAGTGTGCTGGTATTAAAGGCATGTGCTTCCACCTCCCTGCCTCTTTTATTTGTATGAGTTTTTGCCTGTATGTATGCGTGAACCACATGTGTGCATTGTCCATGGAGGCCAGAATAGGATGGCAGACCCCTTGGGAACTGGAGTTACAGATGGTTGTAAGTTCCCATGTTGGTGTTGGGAGTGGAACCCAGGTCCTCTGAAGGAACAGCCACTGCTCTTAATTGCTGAGCCATCTCTAACCCATGAATGTATTTCTTCACAGTTAGCGGTGGGGGCAGGAGGATCCAAAGATCAAGGATGTTCTCAACTATATAGGAGTTCAAAGCTATCCTGGAACACATGAGACCCTGTTACAAAAAAAAAAAAAAAAAAAAAAAAGAAAAGTAAATTTGATTTACCAAGGTGTAAATAATATGATTAAAATTAGGCCTTATACTTAGACATATAGTGCTGGTTGATCTTCGTTGTCCATTTGATACGATTCAGAACCACCATGGAAATAAACCTCTAGATGTTTTCAGAAAGGTTTAACTGAGGAGGGGAGACCCACCCTGACTATGTGAGGCAGCACACCCATGGGCTGGGGTCCTGGGTTGAATCAAATGGAGGAAGCAAGCTGAGCATGAACCCTGATCTTCCTGCCTCCAGCTCCTGCTGCCTCATCTTCTATGATGGTCTGTGCCCTGAAACTGTGAGCCAAAACACACACTTTCTTATGTTGTTTTTTTTTTCCTGTATTTTACACAGCAATGAGAATAGTACTGAATGCATATATTCCTAATAAAATTTAAAGCCATGAAGGATAAAGGAAGAAAGGACTGGCACTCAGTAGAGTCCATTTTCTTTTTCGTCATAGTACTGAGTATAGTTGATGAATAGCACCGAACTTCTTGAGAAAATTATTTACAACATAAAATTCTGTGTGTAGGAATTTATTGAGTTGTCATTCATTGCCCAGCCAGATCTAGCAATCCTGTGTTGAAGCTGTCCTGCCTTTCCTAGCTAGGACCCTACCAACCAGTGAGTTGTGATGTGGACTGAGGTGTTCTTAGGTCCAGAAGACCCTAGAGAAGGTTTATTATGTGCCACTTCTGTAGCCAAAGCATATGTGATCTGGAAAGCTCTGTCATGACGTGAGTGTTTAAGGTGACAGTTATGAATAAGGCCTGGCCTTCCCAGATTGGTTGCAGGAACACTGAGCTCTGGAAGTAAGGGTCAGTCATGGAAAGGGAAACTTGGAAATTACCTTTGGTGATTTAAAATGATGTGGGAATAGGATACATTAGGAATTCTGGGCAAAAAGTTTGTTTTGTCCTATTCTGGTTTGTTTTTATTGTATCTTTATTCTTAGATGTGATGCCTGTATGCTAATGAGAGTGAGAAAGGGTATGGATTTCAGTGGGTGGGGAAGGGGGGGAGGATCTGGGATCAGCTTGGGGCGGGGAAACCATATCAGAATATATGAAGAATTAAATATGAGTATTAAGTATCCTTTGTTGGTGTTGTTAAGACAGTCTCATGTACCTCCTGAGTGCCGGAATTGCAGGTTGTGTGCCAGTTAAAGCTACTTAATTTTCAGTGACTAATGTTTATGGAGTAAAATAATTTCCTTTATTTATTTAGATTAATATAAGTACATACTTTCTTCGTCTCAACCCTGCTGTATGCCTCTCTCTCTGCTCTGTTCCAAATTCGTGGCCTCTTTTCATTAATTGTTGGTACATACATACATATATGGATATACCTATACATATATATTCCTAAATACATAGATATTCTTAGTCTGTATAATGTTATTTGTGTATCTTTTAAGGGATGATTGTTGGGTATTGGATAACACACTGGTGTGCTGTTCCCCGGGTAAGGCTATTTTACCACTGCTAGCAATTCCTTAATTGCCTGAAGTTCTTCGAGTAGGGTTGAGGTCTCCTGGTTTTCCCTGTCTGTGTTGAATGTCTCTCTGTTTTTTTTGAGACAGGTTCTCACTTTGTAGTGAACTCACTGTGCAGATCAGGCTGGCCTTGAAC